GCGAGTTCAGCGACTTGCCTATGCTCGGCTGCATAGGCAAGATAACGTTCCCACATAGCGGGGCATTCTCTGCGTACGAACTCCTCGAAGAGGGAGCCCATCGCGACGTAAGGGCTTTTGGGGCTTGTAGCCCCGCCGGCGTGTGTGCGCTAAATAAGCCTCCCCACCTAGCGGCAGGGAGGAGTGTGCCTAAAAATAACAGCTAATTTGCCTGCGCTTTAGGTGCGCTAGGGTGGGTACCTAGCTGTCGCCTATTGCAACAAGCACACAGTAAATAATAATAAATGAAACAATGCCGCCTCTGATGCGAGAAGTGTGTGTAGGATTCTACTTACAAAACAAGAACCTGCCTACGAGCACAACACTACACTAACACTAATCTACTGCACTATTTGCACAAGATTTAAATTGCAACCGAGGTCGCGAGTGGCGTCTAATTCGGGTGGCATGTGCCCTCCGTCTTAGAGAGACGTCCGTTCCGTACGAGAGCACGAAGCGGAATGTAGTACATTGTGTGTTATGTAACGGACTGCGCGCGGGAGGATCGCGGCTACGTGGCGCCTCGTTGAGCGCCTCTGACCGTGCTATGCCGTTTAGACATAGCGCTGTTGCGTTTTCGGGCGGCGGCTGATTATTAAATATATTAAACGCGCGCGTGAATTTGCCGTCTGGATCATCTATAACGTTTAGTGGACGGCGTAGTCTCGGATGCACGGTCCGAGGGGGTGCGGGATAGATTCCGAAAGCTTTCACCAACGGATTTGTATGGGCGTTAATGCTTTTGAAGTGTCTTATCGACGCTTCTTTAAAGAGGGTGGACAGGGGTGTTATATTTAAGTCGCGATGCAAATCAGCATTCCGCACGTACCACGGTGCGCCTGTTGCATGACGAAGGAATTTGTTTTGAATTATTTGTAATGGCTTTAATCTATTAGGAGGTATATGCGCGAAACAAACACTCGCGTATGTCATAATGGGGCGAATACAGGTTTTATATAAATGTATTTTATGTTTTAGCGACATTTTACTTGTCGGTCTAGTGAGAGGAGCTAGGCGAAACATCACAAATTTAGCTTTATTGACTACTGCTTGTATGTGTTCTTTGAAGGTGAGGCGGCAGTCTAGAGTGACGCCGAGGTATTGGGCCTTATTTTCCCATGGAATGGGTTGGCCGTATAATTTAACGGGAGTGAGGTTTCTGCCTGATTGGCAATTAAACATGACAGCTTTACTTTTCTCCGGGTTTACCTCGATTCGCCACATTCTGAACCATTCGCCAATGGCGTTTAGTGCAGATTGCAAGCAGGTAATGACCTGGTTTTTGTTGCGGTCGGGTGAGAATAATACTGTGTCGTCGGCGTATAAAGCCAACTCGACCTTATGGGTCCTGGGGATGTCACTTGTATATAGCGAGTATAGGGTTGGGCTCAATACTGATCCCTGTGGGGTGCCCGCTCTGAGGGGGCGGGGGCGGGAGAGAGTTCCATCGACTCGGAAAAGAAAACTAAAATTAAGCCGTTATGACAGACTTTGTCGAACGCCTTCGCGACGTCGAATAAGAGAATTCCTACCCTAGTATCATTCCTCATGTATGTGAACGGCGACTAGCAAGGATGTGCTCCGTGAGGCGGTGCACTTGTAGGACGCTCGAGTGACCGGCTCTAAAACCGAACTGTTCGTCGGGTCAGTCGGGTCTGTTCTGGTTTGGTCTGGTCTGTCGTGGTCTGACTGTCACTCTGGTTTCCCTTCAAAACGTATAAATCTTTCGCCTTTTACAATATCTGATATTTCCGAAATCTGATGTACCGAATACTCGCTCACTTGCTATACCAATCGCGATATCATACGCGTTTGCCACAATATCAGATTTTTAAACAGATTTTATGAATAAGTTAAGTAATTTTGAATCTTAACATCATGCAAATAAGATCCGTTTCATTTAAATTATTGCCACAATAACAGATTTTTAGACAAAGCGCGTGAGCTACAAATATTCACTAGTTAGAGCAGTACGGCAACAATATCAGATTTTTAAACAGATTTTATGAATAAGTTAAGTAATTTTGAATCTTAACATCATGCAAATAAGATCCGTTTCATTTTTTTTTTTTTTTTTTTTTTAAATAAAAATATCTTTATTCACATAGACGCTTGCGCGTTCTTATGAAACGTCAAAATTTTACAAGAAATGAACACGTTCGTAAGTTACCACCGGTTCGGAAAGCAGTTTCTGTTGAGAAGAAACCGGCAAGAAACTCAACAGTTGCTCTTTTTAAAAAAAAAATCAGTTTACATATAAGAGTACATGTACAATAGTCTTGTTTTAGCCTACGTGAGTATCAACAGTATTAACCCCACACATTGGCGTCGTCAAGATATTCAGCAATGGAATAATAGGCTTTAGCCATAAGTTTACTTTTAATTTTTCGTTTAAATTCATCAAGTGGCAGACTTAATATCGACTGTGGGATTTTATTATACATGCGCACACCTTGCCCCATGAACGACCTGTTTACTTTTTGTAAACGAAACAATGGCGTAGTTAGTTTGTCCTTATTTCTAGTATTTAGTTTATGTCTGTCACTATTCTTTAGATAACTATTAATATTATTTTTAACATACAAAATGTTACAATAAATATATTGAGACGCAACAGTGAGTATATTAATCTCTTTAAAAAGGTCTCTGAGTGTATTCCGGGCTCCGATGTTATAGATTGCTCGGACAGCTCTTTTTTGAAGAATAAATATAGAATTTATATCAGATGCACTACCCCACAACAAAATGCCGTAAGACAAGATGCTGTGGAAATAACTGAAATAAACAAGTCTGGCAGTGTCGATGTCTGATAGCTGCCTAACCTTCCTAACTGCAAAAACAGCGGAGCTTAACCTGTTCGCAAGAGATGATAGATGGGGACTCCATTGGAGCTTTGAATCCACTGTAATTCCCAAGAATACAGCGGACTCAACAGGATTAAGGGTTACGCTATTTAATGTTAAGCTAAAACTTCGCCTTCTTACGCTGGGAAGGGTAAAAAGAAGGCATTTAGTTTTTTTAGCATTTAACACCATATTATTAACGGTAAACCAGTGGAGGATACGCGAAAGTGCACTATTCACGTCGTCATAATCCGACACGTTTCGGTCAACCTTAAAAATGAGCGATGTGTCGTCAGCAAACAGTACAATATCACATTAAAATTATTGCCGCAATATCAGATTTTTAGACAAAGCGCGTGAGCTACAAATATTCACTAGTTAGAGCAGTACGGCAACAATATAAGATTTTTAAACAGATTTTATGAATAAGTTAAGTAATTTTGAATGTTAACATTATGCAAATAAGATCCGTTTCATTGAAATTATTGCCGCAATATCAGATTTTTTAGACAAAGCGCGTGAGCTACAAATATTCACTAGTTAGAGCAGTACGGCAACAATATCAGATTTTTAAACAGATTTTATGAATAAGTTAAGTAATTTTGAATCTTAACATCATGCAACCGTTTCATTTAAATACTAAGCATGGTATCAACGATTACGATATCTTTTAATTCTTTTATTTAGCATTAGCCTTGAGCCGTAGCGAGCGGCAAAGCGCGTGAGATACAAATATTAAACTAGTTAGAGGGGTACGGCAAACAATGCACAATATCAGATTTTCAAAGAGATTTTATGAATAAGTTAAGCAATTTTGAATTTTAAATTTTAAAAGCATGGAAAAAACTCTGTTTCATTTAAATACGAATCATGGTATTAACGATGTCTTTAAATTTTGTTTAGCCTTGACCTGGAATGCATTGATACTTAAGCACGTAATAGTAAGGGATGCCAACTTAGGAATTTTCTTCCTAAGTTAAGGAAGAAAAATTTTTTGGAGTTAAATTTTATTCGCATTTTTGAAAAAAAAAAAAAAAAAAACTACACAAAACGAAAAACAAAAATATAATTTAATAATTCCGTGCTGCATTGGTGGACGTCAGGCCAAGGCTTGTGTGTATATTTTAAATTCTTCCGCCCTAAACTATAATATTGAATGTTATTAATTAATAAAAATATTGTCTCACTTTTATTTTTTTATTTTTATGAATTTAAGTTGGATACGCGATATAAAATTAAATATTAAAATACATAGTTTCGAAATCTGATATTTGAAATCGAAATCTGATTCAGATACGGTTCTCAGAAAAAGCGATACGACCCATCTCTATAAAGGTGTAAAAGTAACGAAAAAAAGCGTAACCGTATGTATTCGTTACTGTAACAATTAGTACTCGTTACTACCAGTATCGATAAGTTACTCGTTACTTTTGATACCTCATAACATGCCATGTTAGATATTTTTAGAAAATATTTGATAATTAATAGCTTTTGTTAACTAAGAAAAAATTAAATCTCATTAGAACGGCTTTACTATAATATCTCTTTTAGGATAAGAACAAAAAAAAAAACCGTGAAAATACGTTATAATAAAAAACAAAAACAAACATATTGTTAATTTGTAAAAAATACTTTCTTACCTTGTTTCTGTTCCAATCTAAATCTTTATCTATACACACGATACCTTTAAAAAACAGTAAAGACCTTGGACGACGAATTTCCAAATTATACTTCACATAATAAACAAACATCGCTCTTTGTAACGTACGTTTTTAAATTCACCGAATAAGCTCGCGCATGCACGCACATGCGATCAACAAATGATTCATTCAATACACACATCAACGGTACTCTTTGACTGAAACAGTGTAGGTACTCTTATGAAAGATGCGAGTAACGAAATGTATTTATGGGTAGCATTTCGTTACTTGATACTAGATGGCGCACCCGTAACTTTGTAGTCAGTAGTACCGAATACATACGGTGTTAATGTTAACTACAGCTTCAGTATATATGTCTTATCTATGTACGTACAGCTTGCTAACGATAACTCACAAAGCAAGTCACTAATTAGAAGAAGAAGGAGAAAAGCCAGAACAGAACAGAATCTATCCGACCATGGCGTGCGTCAGTGCGTTTATTTGTTATATAGCCTGTTTTACTTTTAGATGCACCGTTTTTAATTACGAAAAACGTTGGATTTGCGTTTTTTAGGATAGCAATAATAGTTTAGATTAGACCATAGTTTTGAAATATAAAGTGTACGACTTGGACAATTCATATGTAAAAATGAATTTTAACATTGACTTTGTAATGGAACTATTTTTAGATGATAGTGTCTGTCCACTCAATAATTTAGTAGTGGCAGTAGCAAATGTTATAAAGGAAAATAATGAAAATATTGGTGGTTTTGATAGAATTTTAGTTAAAGAGCAGAACCATGAGTTACAAACAAAACAGAAATATAGTAAATTGGAAAAAATATCCACTGTGAAAAATTATTTCGAAAATAATATTATAAAATTCTCAGATGAAGATTACATTGCAAGATTCAAAATAAAGAAGAGCACAGTTCAGGTAATGAAATTAACTATTCTCAAACCAATGTCATGAACCTGTTCATGTAATACTTGTCAAGCCACATGCAACTCCATCACAATGAATTTTTGTTAATTTACTTTTTATGTCCCTCAAATTCATGTTTTTAGTTTAGCCGCTGTTTTAGTTGACCTTCACTTTAAACCAAGGTACCAGGCCTAAAGTAGATACTATGTTATTAATATTTTTATAAATATAATTTTATACCCCAGAATAATTGTAGAATTAAAATAAAAGAAAGTTATATTTTTTAAAATAATTTTCTTTGGTGTCTCTATGTCCAAGATTAGTTTTTTAATTCAATATAAACTTCTTCGATTTGTATAATGAGGTTTTTTGCATATACTTCTGCTTCAAACTTTATTTAAGATTTGTACAGTTAAAAAGTAGTGATTTGAGGTAAATCATTTCATAATCTTAGTAAAGTCTATTTTTAATTTTAGGACAGAAATAGGCCAGGAAGACAGTAATGTTTGATATAATATCAAATTGTGTTTTTTTTCAGGCACTGATTACCTTCTTAAAAGATCTCATGAAACTGGACAGTGCGATAGTGCCTATAGACAAAAAAGTTCATATTTTTTTATGGCTATTAACCAGTGATTATTCTTTTAGTGAAACGGGTGCATTATTTGGTTTGCATAAGTCATCTGTAAGTTATATATTCTATGAGATAGCTTCAGTTATTTCTGAACAAAGGTATCATTTTATTAACTGGCCTTCTCTAGAGGAACAACACGTAACTCGAGTTGAAGTTAACAGCAGGCATTCTTTTCCCAACTGTGTGGGCTTTATAGATGCCTGTCGACTCAAAGTGGGAACTAAAAGAAATAGAAAAAATGATCCAGAAACTGTGCTTTTGCAAGCTGTCTGTGATGAGTCTCTAATGTTTATAGACATTCACATTGGTAGGATAGGAGACGCTAGAAAAAGCAGAGTGTTTAGAGAGAGCCAACTTGCGCAAGAACTCAAAAATTTTATTGATTTTGAAAACCACATACTGGGAGATTCTAACTACAGGCTTCGAAAAAACCTTATAACACCCTTTACTAGTGAAGAGGTGCTAACAAGTGAGGAAATGAAATTTAATGAAATACATTGGAAGGCTCGGTCTTACATTGGTCATGCATTTGAATTATTAAAAGAGCGCTTTAAGAAATTAAATCATTTAGACATTGCCAAAGAAGAATCTATCGACACTATTATTTGTGCTGCTTGTATATTACATAATTTTGTAATACTTCATGAAGGATGTTCTGAAATAAAACATGAGCCAGTAATTTGTGATGATGGCATTATGATTGACACTAATGTTGTTAAAAATGCAGAGGAGAAGCGTCAATTTCTATGCAATTACATAAATTTTATGGACAGCAGTTGATTTATAAAAAATTAAAATTATAAGAAAATTCTCAATCTGATTTGGTTACTTATTTAATTTTAGGGAACTTGTTATAAGGTATGGGAATGAATATCTATGTATACAGCGTGTCGTTACAATCATGACAAAAAATGAACAAAAGTCTAACGCTACTGGCCAATAATCATAAAATAATACAAAATTAAAAAAAAAAATTCAAACAAATTAATTAAATAAAAAAGAAAAAAAATTTGTAACACCCTATACAGCTACAACTGACTGATCCATACATTCAGAGACTTTTTCATTTGTTGCCACAACGTCGCATTACAAGTCTCTCCTTCTAACAGTCTGTTTTATCTCTTTTAAATTCATTCAACCCATTCATATGCTTTGTGACCTTTACAAATGAACTTTACGTTACAGTTTTATACATTCGTCTAAAATTGTTCGTTTTGGAAAATTTAATACCTCGGTGAACATTGATGTTTAAAGAATGTAAATGTTTAATACAATTTTAAAAAGCTATCCTCTCCATGTTTGTTCATTTATTGTCGCGGCTGTAACGACACGCTGTATATTTTTTTATTAATGATAAAGAAAAGAAATACAATACGGTAAGTATTTAGCATTTTAAAAAACAATTTAAGTTTCCCTGAAAAACGCTCAAGGCAATCATCATATGGCGTGACGTCATGCAATGAATAATGATAGATGACACTTGTCTATACTGCGCGGCGTCGGAATATTGTTCCGCTTTACACTATATGACATATAAGTGAATCTGACAGATATAGATAATTCGGAAAGAGATAGCAGTCTATATAATAGAATGGCAATCTAATTACATCAATGATTGCTATAACGTACTTATATTTTCCATTGGCGGCCAAGCAAAACCAGTGCTGCCAGCTTGGGGATTTTCCAACCAGGACGCCTTTCGAAAAATAGAAAATTCATATCTTCAAATATCATTGATCTATAATAATTGTGAATATAATCAAAGTACAAAACACGATTTATCGCGTATATTTTAACGTTTTTTTTGTTATTTCCTGACTTCCGTAACAGTTATTTAGTTGTTATTAATATACCAAATTTAAAATTAATGAACTATCTGTAATGAAAAACATTTCGATTAGGTCCGTTTACTTGGTTTATTATCAAGTTATCAACTCTATTTATTGACCTAGTAAATAATTTATTTTGGGTTTCTATTTTTCTTTTCAGAAGGTTATGCAATGTAGTGCATTATTTAACTGTTAAATAATTACCAATGGTCCTTTGTAGAAAATTAGAAATCGTAGACTTCTTCAAGACCTCCGCAATACTAACTTGTTCAAACCATTCCTTCGTGTTTCATCTAGTAGTGAAATTATACTTTTCTTTAAATCAACAGAGAGTTCTTTAGAGTTTGTTAATTTTGCCATTTTTTCAGGCATATTTAAGCCTTTTTAGTAAATAATAATGGCTGGGATTTAGCTCCTTTTTCCCCGCTCAAAAAAGATCATATTATTTCGAACACTATTTTTGTTATCTTCTAATTTTTTTCTCTGGTAATCATATTAAAGTTAAAAGAAAAACTAATCAGATAATAAGATGTGTTTTTAAAAGGAGTGTAAAATCTTAGTATTTTTTAAAGTGCAAAGCGTACCTAAAACTCCAAAATAAAAATATATTATTAAGAGCGACATGGAAGTAGGGAAGTCAAGGAAAGGATTCCCGCGGCCTCGCTCGTTCACTACAGAAAAACGCCCAATGCAAAATATCAGTAATATAACCAAACATATTTGAAATAATAAATGACGGGCTGCCATCATACAATAAACGTCAGCTGTAAATTAAAAAATAGTATACAGGGTGATTTTTTTAGACGAAGTACATACTTTGACAAAATGTCAATTGAGCATTCTATAATTAAAAAAATATTAATATTTTATTTTGACATGAAATAACTAGAAAAATATCAATTGAAACATTGTTTATCTCGTTAAGAGTGGACACCCTATTGATAAACGGTTTAGTAATTATGCGTTCACCGAATAGTTTACGTGCTCGTGAATAGGTTATTGTATTGAGACGGTAAGGCAGGAATTTCTAATAAGGTGTCCATAATATTTGAAAAAAAAATATGAGGTCACAAGTACGTACCAGATTCAGATTAATAGATACATTGTCTTAGTTGAAATGGCTAAATGAATACAATATCTGATGATATGGTATATTATCAATCCTGTATCAATAACTAAAAATTTACTGCATACGCCAAACCTGTTTACCCTGCGTCACTTCAACCTAGACGCGACAATAATGTTCATACGATTTTTTTAGGATGTTCATACTATTTTTTTAGGAAGCAGGTCTTTAAATAACGAATTAGGAACGAGGAATTAGAACTAAACTTTTACGGTGGTAGGGCCATGCAGCAGCCTTGGCTGTTACACGAATGGGCAGGCTCGTCCGGGTAAGTACCACGACCTCACAGAACACCGGCGTAAAGTGGAAGTATAATACTTTCGCGTTTCGTCTGGTGAGTGAGCTAGCCGGAGCCCAAATTTCAAAAGGTTATCAACGCATCTGCAACCCTCGGATGTAGTAGATGCCCACGGGCGGCGGTATTCACTTAACATCAGGTGAAACGTCTACTCGCTTGGCAACTTTTAACTTAAACAAAAAGAAAAATTGAAGAACTAAGTTTATGGTGTTTCTCCAGTTTACTTTTATTTAATGTGAGGAAAGTGGTTTACAGCTTTTCAGTTTAAGCTGTTTATTCTAACATTTATTTGGAAATAATTACCTATATTCAATTGAAAATCAAAACAATATTTAATTTGGTTTATTTAATATAAAGTATATAAATAATACATAATCTTGAAGAACAATATTGTTCTGATTGAGAACTGATGATGATCCGTGTTACAGATTTTTCTTTCACCTTTTATATTTAATATTATAAAATATGTAAACAACTTTAAATATATTTCAAGAAAAGCTGTTAAAGAAATCACGTTAAACTACAAAAAGGGCCTCTACACATATTTAGAAAATAAAAAAGTATACAAGCAAATTCTGCTAAACTTAACAAACTTTGATTGTTTTACGGTGGGAATACTTCTAATTTTTTTTTAAATCTCTGGTGGTTTTTTCAGCCTAGTATTTGAATTACCGTTTTGGGTCACTCAATTATAATTTTAGGAATAAATATAATAGACATCGAAGTACTCATAGTATATCGACGAAATGTTTGATAAGTGAGAATAGATGGGCAACGTTGAACCTTAAAGAAGCTAATTATATTATATGAAAAATATTAGGACAGTCTTAAGTTTTGTGGGTATGTTATCTACACACAAAGCAGATCCAACTAAACTTTTGTAGTCATTTTAGATTTAAAGAAAACAAATTGCATACAACAGGGATTAAACATCTATTATAACTCTTTTTTGATGTATCCTAAAATACATTAGGCACTAAATTGGCAACCTACAAGGCACTATGCACTTAGCACAGCAATTTATTCTATATTCATAACTCCATAAAAAAGAAAATAATAATGTAATGTAAAATTATTCATTAAAAATTACAGGCCATAGCTGTTTGAGCTAGTACTGCTTCGCAATATTTTTTATGTTTGAACTATAATACATAATAATGTCAAATCATAAAATTTCACTTTCTAATTTTCGTCAAGTGGGACTATGTCGACCACGATGTCCTAGCTTCTTCACACTATATACATATTTATTTATATTTACACAGAGCTGCACTTGATTATTACTAATTATTTAGTATAACATGGAATGTAAAAAATGAATATTCAATACTGTAGCGATGAACAAAGCCGCCTTGTTCGATGAGACAGTTTGTTTTGATATTTCTTGACGAAACGTGATGCTACACCATAACTACAATATAAAAATCGTCGTTCTACAAACAGTATTAAATATTCAAAAGCTTTTCGTCTACCACATCGTAAAGCTATCTCGAAAATTGCGATATACAACGCGCACAGTTTTACGATGTGTAGTGCCAGATTAAAATACAGAAGGGAAACGTTCCTATTAATAAATCGTAAAGTCTAAATGCAATATTTCACCGCTCGAACAAAACGTATAGGTAGCTGTCACTAGTTCCGAAACTGTACAAGTAATACGAGTACGCTTTATTTACAAGAAACGGACGTCATCGCCACTCGTGCAAATCGTTCGGACCGAGATTCTCGGCACTTGGCACGACACATTGTCACTATCACTCCGCAATTGAACCGTATGCAGTCTGTCGTGGGTTTCATATGTAGGTCTTTTTGACCTTCTGCAGCGTGCCGCACTTGAGGTCCTTGTCGAGGGACTCTGTGGAGTTCCTGAGGTCGAGGGCCCGGTCCTTGCCCAGCTCCAGGTGCAGGTTGTCCTGCTTCGCCAGAGGGCCAACGTTCGCCACCATGTTCACGTTCTTGGACCGCGGCGGCATGTACCCCGAGTTCACGTTCAGCGGCGTCTCCAGGGGGCTCAGTCTGCAATAGTAATTGCTGCGATATAATTGCCTTATTAATTGGTGTGTGGAAGTGTCCTTGGGCAATTCGCGTGGTGCGTAGTATTGATTAATAAATCCACAAAATTCTTGCAGTGAACGAAAAATGAAACAAGACAATGAAACAACAAACAATCATAGTATCGATAACCTAGTAAAGGTTATCTACATCGGATAATGAAGAGCAGCAGGATTCCTGCTCTTTCTTATTCCAGTTGGCAAAACATGTAACTCGTGTAAGCGGTTTTGGCTTAGATTTTTACGGTCCGCCTGACGTGCCTGACGTCAACTATCCTAGAGAATAAACACTCAGATCCGGCCACACAAATACTTGCCCCGTGTGAGAATCGAACCCACGACTTCCGGCACCAAAGCTGATAACTTAGCAACTGATAAATAATGCAATGAAAAGATACGAATGAAATATTAAGGTACTGTCTACTACATCGTATAAAATTTGCAAAATAACGTATAAGCTGACTTCACAGCGTGTTAAATTTTACAAGATACTCTATTGCATTTTTATGATACGAAACAATTGGCATAATTACCTGTTCAAATGATTGTGTTGTTCATTGAAGGGTGAGGTATCGGCAAAAAACGGGTGCCGAAATCGACGCGAGAACAGGTAACCTATGACGAAGCCGAGCATGAGAGTGACGAGGCATGACGCCACCACGGCGGTCAATAGCGCCTGCGCACTGTAAATGTTGCCGTCGGCCGCCTCCACCGTCAGGAGATCTGTAACGAATACCGAAGCCATGATAAAGTGAGATACCTACGTTCGAATGCGATCACTGTGGGAAGCCCACGCGGCAATGGACAGGCTTTTAGCAATACCACGGCCTCAAAGAAGGTATATTGAGAGTTGGTAACGTATCTGCAACTCTTGGTGTTACAGGAGCCCATTGGCAGCGGTAATCACTTATTATCATGTGACATGCGTTTCGTTTTATCCAAATTTTCAAATGAAAAAGGGAGAAAAAAGATATAGCCATCTCGGTCACCCTTATAGCGCCGTTTCATCAATGATATAGGGAATAACTGACCAGTTTCGTGTTTGTTTGCTCGATATAGCCCTCTCGGTCACCCTTATAGCGCCGTTTCATCAATGATGTAGGGAATAACTCACCAGTTTCGTGCTTATGGTTGCTCGGCGTTTTCTCCTCGGACAGGACGTTGGTCTCGACAACCTCGATCAGGATCTCGTTCTGTATGTCCTCCGGCGGCTGCTGGTTCGTTTCCGTCGGCGGCGGCCTCTTCGTCTGCGGGCCCCTGTTGTGGCGCTCGCTGGGCAACAGCGCCGGCAGCTTGTTGCAGACCTCGCTCTTTCCGTGCTCTACGTTCTGCAGGAACCGCTCCGGGTTGGGGAACTGCCTGTTGCCCACCCACGTGCACTGCTGCTGCTTCGAGTCCCACGCGCAGTGCGGGTCCTGCAACGCGATGCACTCCCTGTGGAGGCGACGGGGTCTTTAGGTGGGAACTTCTTAGGCACGTGGGACGGTTTTGGGATGGGTAAAAAGCTTCTATGCTCATATAAGTAACCACCACGCATAGATACATATTTCAGTGTATTTTTATGTCCTTTTTTATGTGGATAACGCTCCTTCTTTGCATTTAAAACAGTACAATAAAATTGTGTTACAAAAAAATAAGGTATTAGTTTCCTTAAGTTTCCGCGTGTTTTTGGACGTAAAAAAAATGTAATTAGGTACAGATAAATCATTAATAAAATACTCACCAAGCAGAATTTGGCGGTCGCTTATAGTTTTCGAGAAAAAAATTTATTTAAAACGTAATTTTCACTAAGAAAGTTCACCATTTTACCAATTTGACATTCAAAAACTGAATACACAGTACCGCCAACATGACAAATATAGGAAGTGGGTGAAGATTAATTTTCTTTTAATTTAAAGAGTGACAGATCCGACACAGATCGATCCGACTCGGATAGGTTAGGTTAGGTTAGAAGGCTTCGTGGTTATTTTTTTTATAACCACCCAGAAAACTTTAGTGTAACAGTACTTTTAGTATTTTTAAAGACTCTTTTTTAATAATGCGAAGGTTATAATTTGGAAAAGTGTGTGAATTCACAAACTTATACATGTTGTCAAACACAAAATGGCGGATTTATTTAGTGAAAATAACAAGTTTTAAATATTTTTTTTTCTCAAAAACTATAAGCGACCGCCAAATTCTGCTTTTTAATTATTTCATTAGTGATTTTTCTTAATCGAATAAAATTTTTGTTTGGTCGAAAACACCCGGACTTATGGAAACTTTTACCATAAATAATAACTAAAATTGTGTTACTAGCTGATCCGGCAAATGTTGTTTTGCCATACAAATTATTTGTAGGGTAGAAAGAAATAAAAATTAGTTATAAAAGTACTTCCCAAACATATTTTAACAACCCAAAAATAATGTATACAAGTCGGTGAAGGTAGGAAGTTTTCACTTGTGTCGTGCAATTCTACGATTGACAGTTTTTTTTAATGTCTCCTGTACCGGGTAATAATCTTTGTGTGGGTTAGGGGTTATACAAGCGATTTGAAGATAACACAAATTTTAGCCTCGTGTGGAAGAAACCCCTACAACGCGATGAGCAAAACCAGATAACAAGTAATGCGCCTTTTGTCAGTTACAATAGCAGTATTACGTATCAATAGTTGAGTCATGTTGCAGAATGAGAGGTTTACAAGAATTGATTAGCTTGGGGATGCATTATGGCATTTTTCTGTGAAATCTACGAATCTTTGTGACATCAATTGGCTTGGGTAGGCTAATGAACAATCCTTTTATATTTTTTTAAGCTGATTGTCATAAATACGATAAGGTGTTGTGTCATGTTTATTTGTACAGCGAATATTGATAAGGCACTCCCTCTTGATATCTATAGATTTTAAGTATCACGTATACAGTGGATACTATAACAATAGGAAGTCAATAATTTTATTTCGTCCGTTTAATGCAGAATAGTAATAAATACAATAAAACAAATAACTATTATTTCCTCAACATATAGTCTAGAGTTTACAAACTATTTTTAAGTTAGAGATAAGGACGGCACATATTGTAATATGGTTTTTACATATAATCTTTGTCACTTGAATAAAACATCATACTACATTTTCTTGAACGATTGTCATCGCAAATTGTTACGAAAATATTTCGACCGACCTAAAAAGTATCGCATAAATTTGACGGTTTTTACTTGGAAGCTTTCTAATATTTATTTTTTAAATATATTAACGCCCGGTTTCTGAAACACTGATCATCGTAGAAGTCAACTAACCAGCTGTCAAATGGATTATCAAATATTATTTAAGTTGCCAAAAACGATTGTTAAACTCTTTATATTGATCATTCTGATTATTAAGAAGATCATCGTAAGTGTGTATATTTTCTATATGAAAATATTCGATATAAAATGTTGTTATTTTTATAAATTTTTAATTTTCATGTTTTTCTTATTGTCTTATTGTTTTTTTTGTTTTATATTAGTATTTTACTCGTACTTGTAACAACTATTAAGTTATCGTACACTTATCATCTTTTTAAACATGCTGTAACTACCTTTAAATGGAAACATGTATAAATCTTAGTTCCCAAGTCTATTGTCAGATTTTATTACAAAAAAATCATGTCATTCCGTTGGTGGTGGTATCAATAAATATATAAAATTTGTGCAGTTTCGCGTGTCAAAAGTAAATATTAGCAGACATGGGATTAACGTTCACCTGCACGACTGGACGCTGGTGCAGTGCGAGAGCGTGACCGCCTTAATGATGTCGCCCGAGGCCACGATCAGCTTCTCGGTGGTGAGGGCGACGTGCATCTGCTTGATGGGCACGCCGGGCGGCAGCACCTGCGCCTCCGACACGACGGCCGTGCGCACCGGGCTCTTGCCGTACTCGTCCGCGCTCGCGCCGAACGGGCCCTCGTTCGCCGCCACGTTCACCGCCTTGATCACCCGCCCGTCGTCCGTGCCCACGTACATCACGTCGTACTTGTTCCCGTTCATCGCCTGCACCTGCGGGTGGACCGCGATCGCCGAGAACCGGTACTGCAGGCTCACGCGGATGAGTATCGGCCGCGCGAGGAACGACGGCACCGCCTTGTCCATCAGCGGGTGCGTCTTTATGAAGTTCACGCCGGAGTCGGACAGCGTGCGGCTGTCCTCGACGCAGGAGCCGGGTCTCGGCTGCGGCACCTTCTCCCTCTCCAGCGGCAGCCAGTTCGAGTTCATGCCCTCCTGCCCTTTGAACGGCCCGTCGAACGCCTCTAATATGTCCCTCATTGCGAACGCGCACACAGCAGAGCCACCTATGGCGTTTTGCGGGGTCGTGAACACTGCGTAGATTATGTCGTTCCTGCTGCCGCCGCTGCCGTACACTCCGTTGATAAGTTCCGTTGTTGCCTCTGCAATGTTGGACGGCGATTGTTATTTTTTAACGTAATGACGTCGACTTATCTTTTAAGAGGTACTTAACTATTGATTCGTGACAAGAGTAAAATGCTTTAATCAGATCGGATTGGACCTGGGATCGTGTCAGAGCTTTTGTTAATTTTCACTTTTTGGATGAAAACATGAAGTTACTGTTAATATTGTACTGGAAAAGCTCGTTAAAAGTGCATAGCAACCATCAAACCATATCAGTAGTATATCGATTTGACATAAAAGAGAAACAATAATTTTAAAGATAAATGATAACTTACGTATTTCGTCAAAGTAGAAAGGGTATTCTCCGGGCACCGAGCAGTTCAGTCGCGTTTTCAGGAAAGACGTCCACCGATCACTGAACGTGTGCGGACCACCTTTGTCGTTCAGACAAACCCTGGCGACTCTTGAGTACACGGCCTGTGAAATTCATTTGCTGTCAGTTCTTCCGTCCAAATATACTGTTTTTAAGAGAAAGAGTGAGCAGTCTTTAACTGGACTTAGTGCGTTGATCACTACACTGCATCAGTTGAGATAGCCAATCGCTTGGCACAAAGTGCCAATTAAGAAAAAAGTAGTAATTGTTATTGCGCTGGAAGTAAAGTAGTTTATCGCGCAGCTGCGTCGCTATCATGCTTTATGGAGTGGTAGCCCCGATAGATATTGGTACACTGACCTTCCCGCAGTTCATGTATTCCACCGCGGTTTCCCGGTAGAAGAAGTACACGTGGCTGGTGGAGGCCACGGCCCCGACGAACGAGGGGTCGTTGAGTAACCGGAGGTCGGATCGCTCGGTTCTCACCGGCTCGCGGTAGATCAGCGGGTCCGTGCCGGAGAAGTCGGCGGCGGTTGCGGTGTACAAATGACCGTCTGAAATATTATCGGGGTTATCCATCCTGCCGATCCAGAATCCGGGTTACGTATCAGCTGTAATGCGATTCTTTGATCCAGAATATTTTATAATACCTAAGAAATTTCTAGGCCATATTAGATGTTCTCCGACCGCAATTAGCATACCGATTGTCGGATATGTCACGCGCAAAAATCTGATGTATAGTTGTGCCCAGTATACGGTGAGGTGACAAATTCACCTATAACTTCATTATTTTAGGTATTTTATAATTAATTCCCTTAATACTTCAAGTATTGAATTTTTATTCGATTCTTGCAAATACCAATTCAATTCTTGAAAATATCAATTAGTCTTGTTAACTATTAGGCTTTGTTAGCTCATGTTCGGGCGCTCGGTTTTAATTTAATATACTCGAGCACCACGAGTAAAATTGAATTAAAATGAAAACTGAAAATGTTAATTTTGATTGCTGACTTATCACGTGCTCAGCGGTGCATCGTGAGGAAACCTGCATATTTTGGAAATAATTTAAAAAAAAATGTTTCGCACATATGTGCAGTCCGCCAATCCGCAGTGGGGTCGCGTGGTGGACTATGCCCTCTGTACAGAGGAGGCCCAGTAGTGAAACATATAATGCTGTTACTTCCCTTTTTTTTTTACATTAAATCCAATCAATGAATTTGCCCAAGAAGAAATCAAAAACAGACGGTGTCTAAACATTTACTTCTTATACCTATGTTCTTATATGAAGCTAACTATATTACCTACCTAATCCGATGCAATTGGAGTAAATTCGACCTCCGGTGAATTTTTCGTCCACACGCTACAGGCGAAGCAATGAGTAGGAGCATTAAGTATAACGGTGTAGTCAATTTTAGAAATCGTGCACGCTCTACTCTCGGTTTGCGGTTTGCTCGTCATATTTGGGCTAGACGAGCTTTTAATTTCTTCACGATTTCACCGAATGCACGGCGCAAAACCAAAATTGACTTTAAAACCTTATAAAAATTGACTTATAAAATCTTATAAACTTAATGATGAACCTGATTATATATAGAATTCGATATGTAGACCGTTCACGTGGGATTTATTCTTAATTCATGTGCTGATTTAACTTTGACCTCATTGTAAATATTTTAAATAATTACCGAGGTTACTATGGTCGATATTAATGTAGAAAATCCATTAGGCATGTATTTACACAATAAATTACAATATAATACATTCTCTGCCTTGTCTTAGAAGATTCAACTTTACCCTAACTACAGACAGATGTGGAGTACGTAGAAAACGCATGAGGACGATAATACGCGAACATTATGCTCCATTCACTCTTGAGAACTAAAATATATTAGTAACTAAAATGCAGCATTTCTTGTACGACCTAATTTTGATGCATTATTTCACTGTTATGAATTTCTGTTCGGAGTTTTATCTAAGAATAAACCGAATACAAGAAAAGTTGTGGTAGGGCCATGCAACAATGTTAGCTGTTGGATGAATAGATAGATCCGTTCGGGGAAGTACTACGACCTTACAGAAGACCGGCGGGAAGTAGAAGTGTACGAAGAAGTATACTTATACGTTTTGTGGGTATGGGATGAGTGAGGTAACCGGATCCCACTTTATTATAAGGTGGCAACGCATCTAAAACCCTATGGTTGTTGTAAATGTCTATGGGTGGCTGTTATCATTTAACATCAGGAGAGCCGCCAGATCGTTTGTCACCTTGTGAATAAAAAAAGTCATTTAATGGAGTATAGCGTTATTTAATTTATATCGTTATAGTTACGTCGGTATTCGAGCGAACTGAAGTTCAATTTATAAATGACAATTTGTTCAATCATAAGAGGCAAGATGGTGACAAAATAGTAAACTGAGCTTTATAGAATTAGACACCAGCTGCTAAGAATATTAGCGTAGACTTTAGCGGCAAAATTAAACTGTGCCGTGGGTAGAGCTAACTGTAAGGCGATAGATTATCATCACAACGGTCCCGCGTCGTGTTCGGTTCGGCCCCCAAGGCGGGCGGGAGTCGTTGCTAATCAGGAGAACATGTGACTTAAATTTCAGGTCTTGTAAGCTTACGTTTTGTAAAAATTGTGTTTTGATCACTAAACCGATATTATATCTCTATAGTTCTTTTTTAAATTTCCGTATGATGTAAAATAATTGTATAGTAGCTTACCCAGCGAGTTCGGAAATTAAAAGACCTTAAGTTGAAATGGAACTCAAAAGAATTACAAAACCAACTTTAGGGTAAATAAATTCTCTCAATTAAAACTGCACAACTTTATGGCCGGACAACCTAATAATTTATTTTTTTTGCACACTTTTTTGTACTAACTGGTAGAAACGGCGGGCTTAATGCCAGAAGGTATTTTCTACCAGCCAACCGGAAACATTGGTGCGCTATATAAGGATTATATAATATGTATACATACATTATGATAACTATTTATGAAGTTTGTAAACGCTTAAGAAAAGTGATAAAATTTTGACCTATCATAATGTACAGCGCCGTTTTTTTTAATTAACCACAATCTTCCCGTTACTTATTGATCCGCGTGTCGATAATCCTGCTTAATCAAACTCACCGGCGTAAATGGCGGTCGAGTTGTGCTGCGGGTCGTAGGGACATCTGCCGGAGCCGTCGAACTCCTCGATGCGGTGGTTGGAGGGGTGCCGCGTGGTGTCGTAACGGCGGCAGAGCGGTTTGAACGCGTTCGTGCCACACACTAGCAGCCTGCCATGGGCTCGTGCTGCCACGCGCGGGTAGTTCTGGCACTCGTCCGCCGATTTGCCCTTCAACTGACACAGCTCTCTGTGGGCGTCCGTCGACTGCCACTCCAGACGCTGTAGAAGAAATGCAGCTTAGTTAGGTGATGATTGTAAACTTTATCACACGTATACATATGTAAACAGAGACAGGTCACGTAATTTATAAAATATGAAATGTAGAGCTAGAAAATGAATCTTAATATGATTTTTTATCCTTATACGGAACATACTATTTAAAGTCTAACGTTTCGTACCCTTTTATGAATACTTTGTGTTATCTATGGTAAAAATACATCTTTGAACTATTTGTACTTTCACATACATTTTAACATGTTATGTGTGTTTTATCAACATTATTGATACGCTTAATCAATAGTTACTTTAACGTAGCATAAATAGTCGTGGAAAATAAAAGGCATTCATTCTACGTGTCATTGAAAATACTGGTTTCATTTATCAAGTACTGCATATGGATTGACTTTCACAAACACCGCTCGTGCGGTTCAGTTGAAATCGTCAATACGAGGTGATTTCTGTTATAAAAGTAACTTTAATGAGGACTGTAAGCAAGTACTTTGTTTTGCTTCGGTTAGTCAGATATATTATTATGAACTCGGTAGTTCATTATAAATATAGGCAGGATAATAATTGACTGATACCATGTGATAACCCTGTTACAAATTATCGGCCAACGTTCGCCATTTCATCAACATTAATAAGCCAGTTGATTAAAAACATCTACGGTTTATAAAATTCCTGAACATGTAATTTCACATAAAAGCATGGTTAGTAAAGTTTTACTCTAGTGTCTTAACAAATAAATATCCCCTAGTAGGAGAGGGCTTTGTAGGTATTTGAGTGATTTACTGTACTAACTGCGTTGCTGTTGCGAAGTTTTACAGAGAATAAGTTAGTTTAACAGTAAGTGTCAGGAATAGTTTGCAGAATATTGATTTGACATTGATGATGACAAGTCGCGGTAGATGAATACATAGGAAGTAAGCTTTCAATTGAGTAGCGGGAGCTCAGTGTGTTCTTAAATTCATAATACTGATGCCTGAGGTCGAGACACGGTATCGAATGTTTTATGCGTCGATTTTTATTATAAGTTGATCTAATAACAAAAAAAAAAATAAAGACGTAATAACTGTGGTAATATGCATTAGAGCTACGCGACGGACTGTACCTTTTGTACACATGGCTTTTGCCTAGCCGTGGGACTCACGTATATACTGCAATTGACTCGTTTTTAAAGCCGCATCGCATCGTTACAAACTCCGAGCGTGGAAAACTAGCCGTGTAATTTTTATTTTTTTTGCATTGAAACTAGTCGAAAAGCAAAATTATTCAGATGTAAACAATTACGCCGAACTGAATAGCAGACTAACGAGTAGCCGAAATTTCATACGATGCGAGATCGGATCGAGTATCGGTTACGAGAAATGGTTTTGTGACGAGTGAAACTTTGGCAATATCTGGCCCGGCATGGCCTCGTGCCAAGCGAACTCGTTTCGTGTATTTGGTATCTTTATGCGCATTTTGTGATGCCATTAATTCCGTCCGATATTAAACCATACATATGGCCCCGGCGATGATAAACTCTATATTGGTAACATAAATTTTCTCATCGATTGCAGGTGTTTTGTCGATGCGGTTTCTCGGTAAATGTTTGTTATACTGTAAAAACATTTTTGTGTATCTAGTTTGCCGAGATTGCTATCGTAAAGTCAACACGGAACTAATCTATAAAAGTAATCTAAACATTGAGATGGCTTTTATGGGAAAGTACTTGGGACCCTACACTTAGAGGAGCCCCGCTTTTTTCTCATTCTGTGAAAGGTTAAAAATTCTGGCGTCCCCATTCGCTAAAGTGCTTCGCGGAACCCTTTCGTTTATGAGTTCGATGTCGGTATGGTTACGTGTGTGTGTGCGTCTATCTATATCTTAATATCAAGCTACCAGAGGGATTGAAAAACATCAAAGCTAACCACCGGTGGTGTCCTATATTAGTTTTTTTTTCTCGAACGACCGCCGGCGCAGCGTGTATTATTGAATGGGGAATTACGAAAGAACTTGCATTGTAAGCCTAACAACGAAGCGACTGTAAAAGTTCAGTCGGAGTGATGTAGGCCGACACAATTACATGTTCGTAATAATCTCCATGCAATTTTAGCGAACTCGTATTGCGTCGCGTATAAAAAACTAGGTGAACTGCATCGCGTGCGCGTTCATCAGAAGTGTGTAATGTAACTTTACCAATTCCATCAAACTGTGGCGCGTTGCATGACGGAGATATCGCAATATTTGAACATAATATGACGCGGAAAGCAATTTGCCGCGTTTTAACAAGACTTTGAACAGCACATTCAGTTGTGAAGTTGCAAAGAATAAATTTCCATTTTGAAAGTTTTACGATTTTCATGTCATTTTACATTTGCCAGTATTGTAATGTAGACGGGTTGAATTTTTTAAATGTAATAACAGAAAAAATATATTTAAGTGTCCATTAATACGTATCGTAATGAACGTGAAACATTTTTATAATGCTGCTATTACATAAAATCAAACCTCGGACTTTTATATAAAACCTCCTTGACTTGCAAATATATACAATCGCAATTGCAATGAATCCCACATATATTAAACTTGATGCGAACAAAAACAGTCATACGTGTAGGTAATTTGATGAATCACTTGCTGTACATGTGTCTTAGGCGTGTTTTATGAATGAAATGACTACAAATTGAAAAATGTTAAAGTTTCAAAATACATTAAAACGTTTTATAAAATTGCGAACAAAAATAATATTATAAGATGTTAAACTTATTGTTATATAACAATAGCTGAATAAGTAAATTAATTGTTTTTATTGTGCGTTCATTAACCAATATTTTTTAATAGTTCTATAGTTTTTGTAATAAAAAGAAAATATTGTAATTGGACGAATTTTATAAAATATTACCAAAAGGAGTAAAGTTACTGGCTTAACTAAATCGATTTCGCATAATGTAAACAATTTTGTTATCTATAAATGTTGTCGATGACGGAATAATGGAAAAACTGTTTTTAAAATCAATTGCGTTTAAAAAAAGTTTTTTTATCTTAATAGTGGAGTGTAATATCAACTAATTAACCAATTAAATACACGGGGAAACTTGTAAATTGTTGACACAGATTCTGTTAATTACGATCTCAATCGGCTTTGTTCAGATGCTCTGCTGACCCCATAAGCGAATAAGCATCGATAAGAGTAAAAACTGATAATGATAAAATTCGAATACAGTCTATCAAAGGTTATTTTTTGTCACAGCTACCGTTTGGCCAACATTATCGTTACGTTCCAAATTATAAGTAAATATGAGATAAGACTACTTGTCGCTGTTTGATAAAGTCTCGTGCAGATATGGCCCGAACTCTTTGTATATACAATTTGTTAAAACATAAAAAACAGGAAACTGGCGAGTCTGTCACTGTAAGTCAAAGTACACGAGAATCTATAGTGAATTAACACTAAACAAACACTGAAAACACGCTTATGTATCTTCGTGATAACTACAATAAGTCTTTGCAAGTCTTGAATTTCTCACCTGATCTACATTTTCAGACAAGTCGTACAGGCTTAGATTGTATACTGCATTTCTGTAACAAGGGAACATGGAATTATGTACGTTCCAATAGAGTTCATATTAAGATAAATGCTAAATTTTGCGTTGCATATAGCTGGAATTCCGCGAATTATACACCTTTACATTTTGTTCATTCATTTGTTCCAACTAACCAAACATTGTTTTATTTGATTATTCGTATCACAAGTAAATTTAGTATGTCATTTTCGTCATTCATGCTTATTAGAAAATATGTGTCACATTTAGGTCATTTACTTTTAAACATTAAGTAAAAGACATTTATTTTTATTTAATGCTCTTATTGGGATCGCGCTTCGTGACAGTCTGTGGGGGAGGCCTATGTTCAGCAGTGGACTCAAACAGGCTGAAATGATGATGATGATGATGAACAAACTCTCCTTTTTCTCGGTACCAGAGAGTCTCTATTTATTAAAGTGAGCTATCTCTTATATCAGTGGGTATATTATTAGTGGTCTGTATCTTGTCTTACCTGCCTCCCACAATTATTGAGAAATCATCTTTGTCTAATACTCGAAAGTGGTCTGGTGCAGTTGAATTACCCACGAACTGTTCTGAAGTTTCATCCCCTGGAACAATGAAAAATATGATGATGCCATGTTCATTTATGCGTAAATTCTCATAGAGTGTGTCGCAATGAGATGAAGATGGCGACTGTTTAAGAACCCGTTCACATATTAACAGATCCTTTGTACAAGCTCGGCTTGGAAACTTGTCGGAGTAACTTTATAATGTCCTCAGAATTATTCAAGATAACTATGTGACATAACTGATATTAATGAAAGGTTCATCATCTCTTATGTTTAGATTTATAACATGCTCGGTGAAGAGGTAGAGACATATTTAAGTTGTTTTAGCTGTTTATTCAAAAATTATTAAAACCAACGTAAGCATGTCTTTGATAAGGGAAGAAAATAACTTTTAATTTAGAAGGCAGCTCACTAAAATCTTAAATCCGATTTCAAAGCGTCATGAGATGAATCGTATATTAAGTAAAAGAACTTCATTCACTTTTAAATAAATGGACCGAAGAATGAAAGTGGGTCGAGGCGAAGTTGTCTAGAGTAATTCCTTACAAATTCAGTTCACTAAATCATGATAATAATTAGAGATTGTGTAATGTTGGTATGCGTGTGACACGGTGTGCGAAAGAGAAAACAACTATGGAAGCACATTCTAAGACGTTCAATGAAAGACGTAGTTTCAAAACAAGTCGTCGAGAACAATTGGGACCATTTTTATAAACATGAGTCCATGTAATAGTCCATCGACATGCTAATAAGGCGGGCATTTTGTTCCAAAGAGATGGCACCTGTTCAAGTGGTGCACGCTATAGTAGTAGAGAGTACGGTTACCTCAGTCACCCGACAAAACACAAAGTTATGAATTATATCATACCTCATATAGCTCTTTGGACCGGGCCTATTTGTGCAGCAAGACCTGTTATTTTAATTGTTGTTGCTTTAACATATTAATAAAACATTTAAACTTCTAACTCGTGTCTTATTCATTTAAAGTAATATTTACATTGTAATTGATCAATATTCAATGTCGTGGATAACTTAGTATTAACCAAGAAATAAATTTACACGTTTATGTGTTGATTATGTAAAAACGGCTTTCATTATTCATTTTGATTAATGTAAAGTAGGTTGTGGGGTACTGTATCGACCGAAATTCGATGCTTTTGTCATTTGTCTTTGCCATTTGCACAGTTCAAGTAGTTCCGGGCGTCTTAGTTAAATTATTCATACCGTCAAATATTATTACCGTAGAATTTAATACTATTTTTCGTTTCGTTTTTTTGTGAGAAAGTGGCAAACGAGCCGGTGGTGGTGGCGTTGTCACCTATAAATAAAGTGGGCGCCGGCTACCTCACTCACCAGACGAAACGCAGAAGTGTAACACTTCTACTTTACGCCGGTCTTCTGTGAGGTCGTGGTACTAACCCGGACGGACCTGCCCATTCGTGCAACAGTGAACACTGTCGCGTGTTCCTAATACAGTTATATCACTTATATCGTGGTATAAATATAAAATAAAGGAAATAAAAACGATATATGTCCCACTACTGTGTAAAGGCCTCCTCTGTACAGATCCTACTGTGAATTGGCGGACTTCACATATCTTCGATATGTTTTTATTTAGAAAATGTGCAGGTTTCCTCACGTTTTACTTCGCCGCTGATCACGTGACAAGTCAACACTTAAAATTAACAACTTCTTTGGCCCCAGGGATCGAAGTCAGGTTGTTTGAGTACATTTACGGAATTTAAAGCGAGCGCCCGGACTATGAATTATGATTCTTTTAAAAAGATTTCAATTAAAAATTATAAAACAATTTCCTTTCATTGAAATCTTAATAAACCTAACAATAGGTTCTCAAACTAACGGGTTCACTTGGAAAAGATGCCTTTGTCATTAAGTCAGTCATTGCAGTAAGATTTTTTGGTGCATAAAGTTTTAAGTAAATAAATAAATTATACAGTCCTGAAACATAGAAACAATTAGCTTGTTGTTCAGTTCCCTAACTCTTTAAGACTGTAAATAGTCATTGATAATGTTTTCACTCTTTGCATTTCAATAGCTGTTGGTCATGCTATCAATAATCATTATGATAATGAATCTTCACACAATGTGACGGGATTTAAATATCTCTTATTTACGTTTGTGTTGTATTATAGCATAACTTTATGTTGTTTTCAATAATTGTATGAGTAATTTTTGGATTTAATTGGTATTTGTATGTATATCCATATCCCTATTTCCAAGAATGAAGAAATCTAAGATAATTATGGTATTAGCCAATGTATATATTTCTTAAGGTTTTATTTATTTAAATGTTCTATGACATACTTTAAGTTCATAAAGAGTCTAGCAATAAATTAATTCCTCTAAACTCATTGCATAATATGATTAACTTGTGAACACTGAATTTCTTTTTCCACGTGAAAGTTTTTTGCAATATCCGTAAAATGTTTTATATTCTACTGGTGTGTCGAGATTCAATTACGAAATAAATCTATATGAAATCGATTATAAAATTCCTTTCAAGATGAAATTTAGCTTTGATTGAAATCTGTTCTAAAACTAATAAAAAACTGTTAATATGACATTGGTTGAACGCCATGAATAAATAAATATAAAGGCGTGTTTAACATTGAGCCTGTTTTTAGTGTGCATTACCGTGCGAAAAAGGACAAAGGGCTTTTGTGAAATGAGTAAACAACAATAAGAACTTACGATTTCATAACGATTGCTTGAGAAATTCCCACGTGTTTAACACGAATTACATCGGTGGATATTTTCTTGCACCTGCAGCATTGCCATAAGAAATGCCTACTCATTTAGAATTTTTGTTCATTGCACGTTTGCGACAAATTGCTGCGGGTCACACGAGCAGTTTCTATGTACTTTTAATTGTATAATTTCAAGTCCAATTCTCAAAGCACTATTTGTATAAATATTTTAAAATTCAAAGTTTAAAAATATAAAGTGAAAAGTTATTTTCTACGAAGTTTGCGATGATGATTAATAAATTACTAGTATGCATACGAGTTCATACAGTTATTAAACTGTTGAATAAAATTCTAATCGAGTATGATGGATTTGGTTTTAAGTGTTAAGTGTTAAGTTAAAAGTAAAAAATGAGCACTAGGTATATAAACATATATGCTGTATATGCACACCTACATGTATGCTATAAAAATAAATAACGATTTTTAGCTGTGATATTACTTACCGTATTTAACATGGATCCGAGCATTTGCATCGGGCATCCACGCTTGTGCAGTCGATGCCAACAGAACCAGGACCGCTCGAGCGACGGCCATTTTGGATTAGTGCCTAATCCTCTCTACACACGCCATCTTCTAGTGCGTCCTGCAACAATGGATACGTGATTTAAAGCCATTTACCATTATCTATATTGGCTGACAACTCTGTTAGACTGGTCATTATATACACTACATACAAACATTTAATAGAGTATATACGCTAAATTAGTGTTATATTTTGTTGTATTAAATTAATAGTCAAGAAATAAGAATACTTTGTGAACGAATATCTTCAGTAACATAATGCAAGAAACTCATTCGTATATTTCATCTACAGTTAATGTTTTCTCTGTTAAGATATATAAATCAATCTGAAAATTCAGATTACACTGAAATAAAATGTTAAAACGTTCGTGAGTTATGCAACATAATTCCAGCGAAGCCAGATGTTGCTAGTTTAATCTCTGAGCAAATTGCAATGTGTCTGAGAATGCATTTAACACCTACGTTTTCCCCGTTATTTCTACGTCACTTAGGGTAGCTCGAAATAGGGTAAAATATATCGACAAATGCGCATACTTTGAATGTAATTATTCATTTTCTCTACATTTTATGACGGTAGCCTTGATATATTTAATATAAAGTGACCGATACAATTACATGTTTCTTTATTTACAGTTGTTTTATTGATCTAATATTTACAAGATTAAATCTATCTAATATTACATATTATTTAATAAACCTAATCCACGCGGCATGGTGCCAAGAACGCTAGCTGCATTTCCTCGCTGAATAGTTATGCTCAACCTTTGCGCGAGAAAAGAACCAGCTCTCTTGTCACCAGCCGCGGCGTTGAGCCTAGGACATAAACTTTTAAAAAAATTTGATGTGCGCGGACCCCACGGACCTAATGTTTCAACAGCAAATGGCACAAATACATAATCTGAACATAAAGACTCATATTTGCGCCATTTACTTACTTCAGCTGCCTCCGATGCCGCCCCGGCCCTGACCGAAGTACCCCTTAGATGAGAGGCAGCCAAAGTGTCTACACAAGTGGCGTCCCAAACAAGGGCTTTGCCTCTCTCCCAAGGGATCAATGTTAAACCGTCGGGTCTCTTACCATCGTCGCGTAAAATGCCACAGGGCTCTAAAATAGATGGAACATTGATGGAAACAAGAGCCCTACGGATGATGTCGTTCAGGGAACCGTGGCGAGAAAAACGGCCAGCACTTTTTTGACAAGAAAGCCCGTGGAGACCAAATTTGTCTACACTGACACCACAAGGGCATTGGTGTGGTTGACAAATCGGTGCCCCTAGACGGATTCCTACAGCAATGCGTAAGCTTTCATTGTCAAGTAATGTGCCCAAGTTACTTGATGGTAAAGCGTGAAGCCAATAACTCGATTCTTTAGATGAGACTCCTAGGAAACGGGCACGCTCTAAATTACTTTCTAAAGATTGAAACGTATCTCTCTGTACTCTCCGCACCAAAGGAACATCCCACATGTTTATTAGGAATTACTAAACCGAATATTTATGGCGTTTGAAGTTACTTAAAACTAATTTTTCTAGTTAATTAATGCTTGGATATATATATATATATATATATATATATACATATATATATATATATATATATATATATATATATATATATATATATATACATATATGTACAGGCCTATGCGAGAGAGTATCCCCCGACCACACTTACGACAAGTGTGTTCACTCCCAGGTGGGCGAGGATGATATGTAAATTAAAACTTATACTAGCCGTTGCCCAGCAGTGGGACAGATATAAACTATCACTTTCTAACTCACTCACTTTATACTTTATAGGTATGAAATACTAGAGATATACTAGTGACTGTTGTAGAGCTTCACAGCAGCTTCTAGTGTTGCAAAAACGCATAGGATAGTCGGGGAAGAACTACGGTCTCATAAGGGATTGGCGTAAAATAGAATAATTTATGTTATTCATTTCTGATGAGTTAGGTAACCGGGACGCACCTTCTTAAAGGTTGGCAAAGCGCAAATGGATAAAGCACCCGCCATAATACTTTATCCGTTAAAAAATATAATTACAGGGACTAAAGCTGTGTTAATACTAGTCATAGAACTCTTTTTACTGCACATCAATAGGCTAGGAGTATACTCCTGACACGCCCCAGAAGTTAACAATAAGCTGCTTTCGAAGTCCATTTTCTTACTTCAACGATTCGCCTTTAACCCGTGGAATGGTTTTTGTTGTCGATTTCATTTGTCCGAGCTTAACCAGACGGCCTGAGAACCGCTTTTTTCATAAAAATAAATTGCAGTATGGCAGATATAAATGACGCGACGTATAAACAAGTAATGTTGAGGCAATGTACGTTGCTAATTTGCGTCACATACGAGATGCAAGGGATACGCAGTACGCATCCTTTTGTGTCAGACCAAGACGGGTTGGGTCTCACATTCTAGTTTTTTACTCGTAGCTACACCATTCGCGCTATCGTGGGAACACAGCTTGAGTTTCCATTAGCTATTTTGAGCTGACATAGGAGTTCGCAGAAAAAAAGCTTCAGTAATCCGTTTTACTGTACTTCTTGCAAACTTTACAAATTGAAGCTAAGTGAAAATGCATTTAAACTTTCATAACTAACGTTTTTTCGGCGTATCGACGACTCTATTGTAGAGTTCTTAAGTCCTTCGTGGTGGAGTATCGATTTAATGCAAAAGCGAAAATTCGAGAAGCGTTGTCAGCCAAAGGGTTGCAGTTAACAGAAGGAGAGGGGCTCATTGGGACACAATGATGTGCAGATGTCGTACAATGGACGAGCGTAATGGGGGTTGGTGTTCGTTCCGTCTATTTTCCGCGAACCCTGCAGCTCCGTTAAAGCGCCGCAGTGTGTTGCTATGCTCTATAACCTGTTAGCGTTAATTCTCGCGCTGCGATATATTACGCGCGAACCTGCAATTTATCGGAGCGGTATCTTCCAGCGCAATTACTGGGTTAAACAAACGAGCGGTTATCGAACGGCGCGGCGGCTGAAGTAGCGTCACGATGAACGCTCACACTTAGTGATAGTTGCGCTTTTTATAATAGTGACGCCTTTGAACAATTGTATTTGGCAGCTTAGGCGCTAAAGTTATTGAGATTGTTAGGTATGTTACGATACTCCCTAACGGGAGTAAACTTTCGAAATTTAACTTGCATTTCGAAAATAATGGGATTGATAGAAATTCTGTCACGTTTAAAAAACTAGAGCATTCAGGTTTATATTCATTCGAATGTTATTGAGATTGTTACTGCGTATCGAGTTTTTTTTATAAATAACTTTTTAATATAATATAATTTCAACAACCCTTACACCGACTTCTAAGAGGTTTGACATGACCAATTGACTAGACTTATATTTGCATACGGAAGTATCCTGGGCTCTGTAAATATTCATGATTGATGTATTTGGCAGTAAAAAAAAAGCGATAAGCATTACAGTTAGGTATAACGACAAAAAACAGTATATTCGAAAGATAGAATCTGCCTTCAACGGATCGCACAAGCAATATCAGACATCGCGCATTCTAAATTCGAATACAAAATAAGAAAAACAAAAACGTAAAGTAGACACTCAAATGAATACTTAATGTAGCGGATTCGGCGTTTGATTACGTTTGTAATATTTAAGCGATCAACTTTTTCGATCGGTAGTTTGAAAACTTAAAACTAAAACAATAACCATACCTGAATTGTTTACTGCGTCGTTGCTAATTGGATAAATGATTTTAAATTGGTGATACCTAATCCTTACTAATATTATAAATGCGAAAGTTTGTATGTATGGATGGATGTTTGTTACTTTTCACGCAAATACTACTAAATAGATTTTAATGACACTTTACAATAATATAGCTTATACATCAGAATAACACATAGGCTAAAATTTATATACGTATCTTTATGTATATCTGTCTTTCTGTCTGAATGTTACGCCTTCAGCCTATTCTACGCAGACGTAGTTGCGGGCTGCAGCTATATATGCGTATATTATATTATAGCGTATTCTTGTATTTATGAGAATCTGTGATGGCACACAATAACATTTTTTTTATATTACTTAAGATAAAGTTTTTCTTCATGTCAATTTATATTCAAAGAAAAATTAATTATTTTCATTTGTAGCAAAAGATTGATTGAACTCTCAAATATATATTCTACCATCCGGCAAACGTTGTTTTGTGAAATTTCGTAAAATCCTCTTCTTCTTAGCTGACTTCTACTTGGCGAAAGGAATATTCCTACCAAATATCAAGTCTCTACGCCTTATGTTTCCAGAGATATCGCGATGAGTCAATTATCGGTGTAAATCTCATGTATAGATTTGTCCCGTAATCTCATTTAGAACGTCATGAACATGGAAATTGTAAATTTTTAAAATATAAAAACCCCGTAAAAGTATGTAAAGTTTTAATATTATATTTAAGTCTACATGCCACTGTTACAACTACGAGAAATCTAATGATGCGCCATAAGTTTAAATTCATCAAGCCGTTTAGGATATAGGACGTACCAAAAAATAAGCATACATAAATACGCTCAAAGTATACCTCTAAATAAAAATCCCTTCATCCGACCCAGGTGAGTGTTCAGAATAAAAAAAATATTTATAAAGTGACACGCATATCTTATAAGCTGACGTTAATATTAAATTACCGTACGCAAATACAATATTAAATTACGGAGCGATCAATTTACTTTTCGCGGACGCTGACGGAGATCGGGTACTAGATGCGGTTGAAATTCGAGCCGCGGGCGGCGAGAGTTGTCGTGGTGTTGCCAACCATGCAATCCCACGGCACACGGGAAGCCGCGGTTCTCTCCTTTTCGACCGCAACTTTTTATTTTCTTGTTGAACGGAAAATGCAACATGAGGTGCGATTGCTAAGAGCGGGCTTGTTCCAATAAAGCAGATGCGTGAACGGGAAGAATCGACCCAATATAATGAAAGGGAAAAACTGAACGTAAAACAAACTGTACACTTTTTTGTTACATCCCTGCGTGACATGATT